GACCTGATGTGTCTCTATGAACACTGGACTGACCTGATGTGTCTCTATGAACACTGGACTGACCTGATGTGTCTCTATGAACACTGGACTGACCTGATGTGTCTGTAGGAACGCAGCGTTTGTCCTCTGGGACTGCTCTGTCCGGACACACGGAGCATCCAGAGCAGCAGGCTGAGCAGCACCAGGTCCGGGCGCATGGTGTCCAGAGCCGCTGAAACGCTCAGATGTGCAGGTTCCTCCCAGCGCTGTGTGCAGACAGCATCCCACCAGGCTTTGTGCCGTGAGCATAATGTGAATGTATACAATAATGTCACTCTTTAATCTCTCAGACGAGGGATGCAGTTAGCCTACAAATCCCCCTCCCACTTGTCAGATGGCTCAGATTTGCTCTACTGGAGTCGGTAAAACCCAGCGCATGTTTTCCCTCCTTTCAGAGTGGAACACATTACCTCTGAGCACAGGAACAGCTGCGCGGGTCACACAGATGCAGGATCTGATCCGGTGCCCTCTTTTATACCAAACAATTACAAGAGTCTGAGACACAATCAAGTCCAGCTCACTTCTTTGTTCGTATTGCATCAACCCGACACAGGCTTTCTATCATTTAGTTTGTCTTACACCAAGACATAATACTGGCTAGAGCAGAAAGTTTAATCTATAATCAGTCAATATATTTATTTTTGTCCAATAGTAAATGAGTGGTGCAGGAAATTATGTAACAGGCTGATAATCCAGTAAGCTACAGTATGGCTGAGAGATGGAGCTGCAGGCTAAAAGCAGATTTGTCACTGGGGTTAGATACCCTGTGACTGTCATCTTATTAAATCATACGGCAGCCCAGCTGTGTTTATTTAATCATTTATTCAACCTCTGGTCCACATGTCACCAGAGAACCATGGCATCACTGACGTCATCCTTTTATGGAGCTCAGGAGACATTAAACACCAGAACAGCACGGGGATGTTCACAGAACAGGAAGCAGAAACACTGTAATTAAAGCTGTGCTCAGTCTGCAGGTCTGAATGCTCACATCAGTTTCCTGTGTGCTCGTTTGAATTTAAAGGTGACTCCATCAGACTCTTAGCAGCTGAAAAAATATTATACTAACTGTACTAAATCTAGGTATACTTTAGTATACTTGAAGCTGCACTAATCATCAGTAAACAGTGCTATTTTGGAACAACTAATTTAATCCTAAATATTCTTAAGTTGCAGAGTTGTAAAGTAACTAAGTACAAATACTTCTTTACTGTACTTAAGTAGAATTTTTGGGTATCTGTACTTTACTTAAGTAATTATTTTTCAGCCAACTTTTTACTTCTACTTCTTACATTTTTACACAGTTATCTGTACTTTCTAATTACATTTTTAAAATGGTAGAAAGTTGTTTCTCCATTTTCATTACAGCTTSGTGTTAAAATATATTACCTTCCTGGATAGAGTGAATTTAATTGTGGTTCGATGAGAAGTATAAATATATATTTTTTCTGATCCTGTATTCGTTTGTACACAATCCATCACAGCTGCAAATAACACAAATTATGTCACACTGCAGCAGAACATAGTAGATATACTGAATGTGTCCTAGTACCAAGATGTCTGTGGCGGTATACGTATATACACTATATGTACATATATACACTATATATA